ATATTTTTTTTCTTTCTTTCTTTCTTTCTTTCTTTTTTTCTTTTTTTTTTCTTTTCTTTTCTTTTCTTTCTTTCTTTCTTTCTTTCTTTTTTTTTTTTTCCTTATTCTTTTCTTTTCTTTTCTTTCTTTTCTTTCTTTTTCTTTTCTTTTCCTCTTTTTATTCCTCGTGCTATTTATGTTCCTTTGTTTTTTTTTAAGATTAAAATTATCTCTTTTTCCTTTATCCAGGTACTACAACAACGGCAGAAATGAAGATAAGTGATATAATGAAAATGGTAATTATTATTCGTTGCATTTTATATGTGTGAAATAACATTATAAACAAACAATTAAACCTTTTGTGAAAGATTAACGATTAACCTGCTAAGATGAAAAACGTTTAGATGGTTATTAACGAAAGGAATATGTTGGAAATCATCAATTTTGATAATAATCATACATATCTTCAATATCAAAACCATGCTTTCTTTATTAATCTCCTTGTTTACTTTTTCTGTTTATCTATATTAATCATCTTTTTTTAATCTGCTTATTTACTTTTTTTCTGTTTATCTATATTAATAATTTTTTTTCTTTATCTAGCTTATTTACTTTTTTCTGTTTATCTATATTATTATTATTATTTATTTATTTTTTTTTTTTTACACAAGAGATCCCTTCCGATTTCTCATCTCGCTGTGCGCAAAGTTCATTCCACGTACATATACGCCTTCATAATATCTAAGACATCTTACACGGACCTCACTTTAAACGCAAATCATAAAGAAAAATACAAAATGAAACCCTATTCGTCGTGGGAAGAGCTTTTGGTGATTGTTAATAAGTTTACGTCGAGGTTTGAAGATATGACTAAACCAGTCCAGGGAGTTCTTGGAAAAATGGCGGGAAGGGTAACGAGCGTACATGAAGTTCTTATATCTTTATTTGAATTTTATGCCCGGTTATCTCCCTTTACGATTCGTTAATTAACCACAAACATTTGTTAAAATGAATCAAACTCGTGGAAGACAAAAAAAAAGAAGATATCATTGTCTAGGATGTATTTTGTATTAATTATCCCTTTCAAAGAATCTTTGTTCCGCCTCGAATAAAAGAAGGAAATCTTTCGACATCTTCTAGGAAGAAAGAGAGAGAGAGAAAAAAAACAAAACAAAACGTGATATCAAGTTGTTAGGAATTTTCAGAACAGGAGATGAGAGAAGTGAATTTTTTTCCTTCTTTTTTAATGGGATCTTGGGAGTCGTTGTTGAGAACTAAATTTAGTAAATGTGGGAGTCGAATGAATACTTTTGCCGCCTTTCTTGGACGTAAAAGATAGTCATGTTTATCTACACAGGTTAAATGGCTCGAACTTCCTTATCTGTTCTCACTATCCTCTCTTTCTCTCACCCTCTCTTACGTTCCTCTCTCTTTCTTTTATTCTGTCTCCTTTTATGTCTTTTTCTGTTTTTGTTTTTCCTTTCTGTCCTTCTGTCTTTATGTCTTTCGTTCTCTCTCTCTCTCTCTCTCATTCTCTCTGTATGTCTCTCTCTCTCTCTCATTCTCTCTCTCTCTCTTTCTCTCTCTCTCTCTCTCTCTCTCTCTCTCTCTCTCCCTCTCTCTCCCTCTCCTCCTCCCTCTCCTTCCCTCTCTCTCTCTTCATTATCCTTATTTCTATCATTCTTATCATCATTGCTATTATCATTATCATCATTACTATTATTGACTACTATTACGATAATAATAATAATAATTATTATTATTATTATTATCATTATCATTATCATTACCATTATTATCATCACTATCACCATTATCATTGTTATCACTGAAAATATTTCTTTTCATTCATACTTTTTGATTATGATAAAAAATAATGATGATAATAATAATAATATAACAAAAATAATGATAACAATGAATATAGTAATAGTGATGATAATAATGACAATAATAATACTACCACTAGTGATTATGATAATAACAATGATAATGATAACAATAATTATAGCAATAGTAATGATGATAATGATTATGATACTACTACTACTCATGATTATTATGATAACAATAATGATGATAATCATAATCATAATAATTACAAAGACAATGATAATAAACGATATGATGAAAATGATGATAAATATAATATTGATCACTGTCCATTGTTATCATTATCATTATCGTAATTACTATTATTATCATTATAAATGTTACCACTACCGATATCATAATTATTATTATTATTATTATTATCATTATTATCCTTGTTGTTGTTGTTGTTATCATTATTATTATATCATTTATCATTGTTGTTGTTGTTGTTATCATTATTATCATCTTTATTATTCATTTTTATCATATCGTTTATTATCATTGTCTTTGCTATTATTAGTAGTAGTAGTATCATTATCATCATCATTACTATTACTATAATTATTGTTATCATTATTATTGTTATTATCATAATCACTATTGGTATTATTATTATTGGCATTATTATCATCACTATTATCATATTCATTATGATTAATTTTGTTATTATTATCATTATCAATGTCATTACTATCCTTATCTTCTTATCATAATCATCATTATCATTATTATCATTATTATCGTTATTAATATCATTTTTATTTATCTTTATTAGGAAATTGTTTCTATTCTTATCATCATTATCATTATTATTATTATGATCGTGATTATTATTGTCATAAAAATGACAATAATATTGTCATCTTTTTCAAAATGTAATTTATTGTAGAAAAAAATGAAATAATTCACAGATTTTGAAAAAAATATATATATTTAGAATATGTTACTAAGGATCCGATAGCCATGAAGAGGTCAGGGTGTGTGACCCAATCCTCTATAAAAATTTATATAAGTTGAATTACATTTCGGGAAAGGGTTGGCGGCAGGAAGGGCATCCGGTATTTAAAAAAAAAAAAAAAAAAAAAAAAAATTATATTCAAGTCACGATCCGGGATAAGAATGGATATATGAAGAAGAAAAACACGCATTGGCAACTTTTGGTAATTAGGATAAGACTAGAAGGAGAAGACGGTAGGAGATGAAGAAGGGAAATAAAAAGAAGAAAGAAAAAGATGAAGAAGAAGAAGAAGAAACAAAATAAAAAGTATAAGAAGTAAAAAAGATAAAGAGGAATAATGAAAAAATAATAAAAAAGAAGTAAAAGAAGAAGAAGAAAAATGATGAAGAAGAAGAAACAAAAAAGTAGAAGTAAAAAAGAAAAAGATAAAGAGGAATAATGAAAAAAAATAATAAAAAAGAAAAGAAGAAGAAACAAAACAAAAAGTAGAAGTAAAAAAGAAAAAGATAAAGAGGAATAATGAAAAAAATAATAAAAAAGAAATAGAATAATAAGAAGAAGCAGAAGGAAGAGGAGGAGACGTGGAAAAGGAAGAAGACGAAGAAGAAAAAGATGAAAAAGAAGAAGAAACAAAATAAAAAGTAGAAGTAAACAAGAAAAAGAGGAATAATGAAAAAAATAGAATAATTAGAAGCAGGAGGAGGAGACGTGGAAAAGGAAGAAGACGAAGACAAAGAAGAAAAACAGAGAAAATAAAGATAACAAAGAACAGGGTGGTGCAAAAGAAGACTAAAAGTTATGTCTGAGATTATAGTAATAATAACAATTACAATAATAAAGATAAGAATAATGACAGAATTGATCCTGAAATAGCAATCAAATGATGAAGTAATGATTAATAATGATAATGATAATAATAATGATAATGATTTTTATTATTGATTATTATTATCATTATTATCATTATTATAATGATATGATAATGATTTTTATTATTGATTTTTTTATTATTATTATTGCATCATCATTATCATTATCACTATTAGCGTTGTTATTTATTCCTATAATCATCTTTATTACTATTATCATGATTATCATATTTTTTATATAATGTTGATAACAGTAATAATGAATGAAAATAAAACAAGAAGGAGAAAGAGAAAGAGGAGGAGGAGGAGAAGAAGAAGAAAAAAAGGAGACGAAGGAGAAGAAGAAGGAGACGAGGAAGAAGAAGTAAAAGAGGAAAAGAAGGAGAAGAAGAAAGAAGAAGGAGACGAAGGAGAGAGGAAGAAGAAGGAGAGAAGAAGGAGACGAAGGAGAAGAGGAAGAAGAGAAAAAGAAGAAAAAAGGAGACGAAGGAGAAGGAGAAGGAAAAGAGGAAGAAGAAGGAGAAGAGGAAGAAGAAGGAGACGAAGGAGAAAAAGAAGGAGAAGGGAAGAAAGAAAAAGAAGAAGAAGAAGAAGACGAAGGAGAAGAGGAAGAAGAAGGAGAAGAAGAAGAAGATAACAAAACACAACAAAAACAACGAAAGTGAAAATGACAAAGCAAAAAATGGCTATAATTAATTACAAAACGAAATGCGAGCGAATGACAGCAGGAAAATGTCATGGCAATATTGTCAATGAAAATATTACCATAATTATTTGCGGAAATTAATGCATTATGTCAATGATAACATACATAAGGAAATGTTGCCATAAAATTGCAAAAGTTATTGGAAATTGTGAATTAGATTTACGGAAATTAAACAACAAAAGTCAGTGTTTGTAGAATTTGTAATATTTATGTTGATATTATCATTAGATAAGATAAGATAATGATAATAATGATGATGATAATAATAATAATTGTAACATTAATAAACATACAGGTATTAACAATAGCGGTGATAATAATAATAATAATAATAAATAATGATGACGATGATAATAATGATAATGATCATAATAACGACAATACCAATATAATGATCAATAACAATATCCAACAACAACAACAACAACAACAGCAGCCCCCACAACAATCAATATCACAATCACTAATCCTCACAATCACAATCATCAGTTAATAATAAGAATGATATTTGCAAGATAATGAAACAATTCCTTAATATTCCTAATCATCAGTTAATATAAGAATATATTTGCAAGATAATAATATTCCAAAGTTAATAATAAGAGATATTTGC